GGCGGAGCTATAAGTTTTTGTTATCGGAGTCAAAAATATAAAATAATATATTATATAAAATTTATTATTAGTTTTGTCCATAAATAATCTACACTTAAGAAAAAAAAATGTTTGAAAATCAACCAAATTAATATTTACAATTTTCGGTTATGGTCCACAAAAATTAAGAAAGGCAAAAAAATTGTCTGTTTTTTTGATAAATAATTATAATATTAGATCATTAGTTGAATTTTTTTTTAAATAAGTCAAGAACTTTTAGTTTTATTACATTAGAATTTGGTTTAAAATTCTAATGAACCAATTAACTTATTTGGCTTTTTTTAGTTTAATAGACAATTTTTTATCTCATATAGTTGAATTAGTTTTATATGGGGGTCAAAAACTATAATGCATTGGGGTCATTATAATTACTCTTAATAAAACGTAGTAGAATTTTCATAATTCATAGGGGTCAACTGACCCCCCTAATAACATACTGCCTCCGCCCATAACACACTATACTACCTAGTCCCCACCCTATTGAAGCCACCAAAACATGCATGATTCTCATTTTTTTCCAATTGGCACCGGTGTATGGATCAAGCCTGGCTAATCCAAAGGTGAACAAGCTCACTAGATGTCGATAGTTCGATTGGAAAATATATCCTGGAAAAGTATCTTGGAAAATTTTAAAAAGTTACATTATCGGGTGACAGCTGGTACGAGTACAAATATTAAAAGCTGGTCTGAGTCTAGGAAAATATATATGTTTCCGTCCGAAATCTCCTAGTGTACAAAAAAAATGTTAACAAACTCATTGACAGGAGTTTCATGTAAGCTCATCTCGGCTAAAACATTGTGGCCCCAAGAGTTCAAGTGGCCACACGCACAACGATTTTGGTCGAAATATGGAATCGAATTCAAAACCTCTGCAAGTTTAAGCCAGAAGACATGGATCTTCAATGCCAACGCGGGTTAACATAATTCTCGTATTTTTGTTAAAGGGTTTAATATGAATCTTTTTTTTTTTTTTTTTTTTTTTTACGTATAGCTATGAATCTTATTTATTCTAGCTATACGTAAATAGGAGGAAAATCATATTGTGAACAAAAAAAACAAAATAATCGATTGTGACTTATATGAGCTTGGAAAAACTGTCGGGTACGGTACATACTCAAAAATTTCGCAAACGCAAGATGATTCTGAACAAGATGATTTAAATTTGGACAAAGAAATTAAACCCTAACGCTAAAACAATAAAGAAATCATGAGACGAGTATATATATCTCATATGAACCTCTAACAACTGAAATGAAAAAAACAATAAAATATGATATTGTTCATGCCACACAAAGGAATGCAGGTAACGGAAAATTTGATTATTGTGATATGTCATCGCACCAATGTTGTTTCTTGTCTCAATAATAGCAGTGACCAACAAATGATATTTTACTAACAGCGAGCTCATCGAGTTTGATTTTATATAATCAACCATGTCATAAAGATAATATTGTTAATTAATAATGTCCAAAGTGATTGTCCGGTTGTGGCGTCAAAGGATCGCCGTTGTTGACTGAGACCTATTCATACACAATTTGATAGTCTCACAGTAACATTCGCTCGGATACTCAAGTTAACTAAGGTGGTCCATTTATGTGGCTATTTTAAAATTTTCAGGTCTCTTGTACCTATTGGACTAATTATCCCTAAAATATATAGTGATTGAGTCTAAGATAATAATTAATGAAGTTTGACTCTAAAAATTTGTGACCTTCCTGGAAGGAAAATTCAAGATGGAGGCCACTAAGGACAATTGTGATTAATATGACAAGGTTAAAGCATATTTGATATTTCTTTCCCCATTCCTTACTCTTATTCGTCCTAATCAAGATGCGTGTCGCTGTGTTATATTCAAATTGACGAGAAGATAAACAAATGAAAACTGCCGTCAAAACATAAGTAAATAAAATAAACAAATGAAAATAAACAAATGTTATATTCAAATTAATCATTCGCTTAATACGCTTTTCCTAAGGATATATATTAAACTGCGAACATAAGACAGACTTACCTAGGTATCTATCACTTAGGTTTGATTGGTTCATTCGTACCTACCCATAAACGTAGTATTTACTGATGGATATTGTTAGATCTTTAAAATCAATCATACAAATTATTTTATACCATTTTGAATTTTTTGGAATCGCTAAACTTCAAAAATTCATTCCCGCAAACGTTTACTGTTTACTGTTGTGGATAGCTCAAAACAAAAAAAAGTCATATAAACAACAAATAAAAATAGATTAATAATCATACCTTATACATTCATATTAATTGCCAAACACTAATCATTCCCAACCCTTGATCTCCCAATATAAACAATTATTTGTGTTTCATTATAAAATTTATTTGAATTTTTGAATAGTTATTTAGTGTTTTATTTGTAGTTTTTCATTATTAGTCATGTTCAAATTTTTATATTTTATTTTAATAATATAATTTTGGTGTTATATACTATTTTATAATTATATATTTATTTTAGTAATTTTTTGTTTAACCAACCAGTCAACCAATAAAAAAGAATCTGTAAACGCTCTCGTTTTCAACCGTTAAACTAATCGTTGATAACATTTAAAATTGCAAGAATTCGCTTTTTTCGCAATTGTAAATGCGGTTACAGCAATCAGCCCTTTAGTTGATCTCTAAGCAATGAAATTAAAGTGAGATGAAATGCGGTTACACCAATCAGCCCTTTGAACATTGACTTTTGCTATTAAGAAAGAAAAAAACAAATGAAAGACAATATTTAATTTAGCTGTTTCTTTCACCCAAAAAAAGAAAAATTTATAGCTATTTCAGCAGCCACAAGAGGCTCTTACTTTTCTACCAGAGTTCCATCTAGACGGGCACGCCAACAATATAATTAAATAAAGATGGAGGAGGCTAAGTCTTAGCTATAAAACGGAGAAACTAGGATCCATCAAACAATACACCAACACACACACACAGTCTCTCTCTCTCCCTCTCTCCCTCTCTCTTTCCTCGCTTCTGATCAGTGTGATCAAGTATTGTGCCGTGAAGGAGAAGAACAAACAAAAAGAAACAAAAAATGGGGTACCTTTTGGAAGAAACCGTAAGCTCTAACCCTAAAACCGCAATTGTTATTGATGATGATAATGAGTTGGGTTTGATGGCCGTGAGGCTTGCCAATGCCGCCGCCTTTCCAATGGTTCTCAAAGCCGCCCTCGAGCTTGGTGTCTTTGACACTCTCTACGCCGAAGCCTCTCGCACCGACTCGTTCCTCTCACCCTCTGAGATAGCGAGTAAACTACCAACTACTCCTCGTAACCCTGAGGCGCCGGTTTTGTTGGACCGCATGCTTCGTCTACTCGCTAGCTACTTCATGGTCAAGTGTGTTACGGCCTCATCCGGAAAGGGCGAGAGGGTCTATAGAGCCGAGCCGATTTGCAGGTTCTTCTTGAAGGATAACATTCAAGATTTGGGATCCCTTGCTTCTCAAGTCATCGTCAATTTCGATAGCGTCTTCCTCAATACTTGGTAGTTTTTCTATTCATTGATGTTGAGTTCTTCAATAAGTCACTAATATACGCAAATGAATCTTACAATATCGATACGCCATTTTTGCAGGGCACAACTGAAAGATGTGGTGTTAGAAGGAGGAGATGCGTTTGGTCGGGCACATGGTGGCATGAAACTCTTCGACTATATGAGCACAGATGAGAGATTCAGCAAGCTATTTAACCAGACAGGATTCACAATCGCGGTCGTGAAGAAGGCCCTTGAAGTCTACGAAGGCTTCAAAGGTATCAATGTTTTAGTTGATGTGGGAGGAGGAGTTGGTAACACTCTTGGTGTTGTTACTTCTAAGTATCCCAATATTAAGGGTATCAATTTTGATCTAACGTGTGCCTTGACACAAGCACCCTCTTATCCCGGTGTGGAACATGTTGCCGGAGATATGTTTGTGGATGTCCCAACCGGAGATGCCATGATCTTAAAAGTAAGCTCAACATCTTATATATTACTCATACATCTTGGACGTGTATACATGCTAGCACTTTGTACTAATTTTAATATGTTTTTACAGCGTATACTTCATGATTGGACCGACGAAGATTGTGTCAAGATTCTCAAGAATTGTTGGAAATCACTACCAGAGAACGGTAAAGTTGTTGTTATTGAATTAGTCACTCCTGATGAGGCAGAGAATGGGGACATCAACGCAAACATTGCCTTTGACATGGACATGTTAATGTTCACACAATGTTCTGGTGGGAAAGAGAGATCAAGAGCTGAGTTTGAAGCTTTGGCTGCAGCTTCTGGCTTCACCCATTGCAAGTTTGTTTGCCAAGCTTATCACTGCTGGATTATCGAGTTCTGTAAATAAAATGTGTGAAATAGAAAGAAAAAAAAACTAAATCGTCGTTAATTGTGTTTTTTTTGGGTGATATGTAAATTATCGTTGTTAATTCTTATTTTCATCTTTGTTTGAAATGGTCATGTCTGTCTTTGTCTTCAAGCAATGAAATAAAAATAAGCTTTTCTATTTTCTCTTTGTACTCTCTAAGTCACATGAAATATTCATTCCTGTCTTTTTGAAGAGCTCACAAGTCACAAGTCATAAGTCACAAGTGCATATTCATTACTCCACGGTCGGCTACTTTCATTTTGTTTCCTTCCTCTTCCACTCACGAGAAACAACTAACGGCTACTTCTCTAATTTAATGTTTCATTCTTTTTATTCTTGAGAATCTTGTTCACGGAAATCTTCACATGCTTTTAAAATTGAATCTTCAATTCTCCATTTATATGCATTTTAAATCGTTGGTAAATAAGAAAAGGATAGAACATATAGTACAAACTCAATTAAAGCCAAACCATACTATATGCTTATTTGTTAGAGAGGGGACCCAAATTCTGAAAAGAAAATCTGAGACATATGAGTGAAAGTAGTAGTGGTGACCACAAAGAAAAGAGAGACACGAACTCGGAAACAAAAAAAAACTAAGGCACATTGATTATATAAAAATGAACATCAAAATAAAAATAAATAAACACTAAGATTCTAACAAGAGCCCTACCATAAGAGAGACAGAAACAGAAAAGCTAAAGAGAGAATGATTACACAATACTAAAGTTAAGTTGTTGGATTAACAATAAGATCACAAATGTAATCATTCTTCCATTAAAAGCTCTGTTTCTCTACAGAAGAAGAAAAAACATGGCTACACAACACAAACCTAGCTTCACCGTTAATGTCATCATCATCACCTGCACACACACACAATCAAACATTTATATTAAATCAAATCGTATTGTATGTGAAAAAGAATGAACCTTTTTGTTTGTTGTTGTTAATGTGAATGTACCTGATTAGCTGAATTAGTGGAAGTTGGTAAAGGGTTAATGGAAGTAGAGTCAACTTCTCCGGTGGGGAGTGGAACCGCCGGATTACTGTTAATGAACGGAACTCCGTCTTTACCGGGAACTGTCACCGATGTGATCTCTGATGGAGATGGTCCCGGAGAGAAAGCTGAACCTTCTCTAGGACCTAATGGCCAAGGGTAGGAGGAAGGAGATGAGATCACTCCTCCTTCAGATACCGGAACAGGGGAGATTGCGGGTGGTTGCGATGGCGGTGATGCCGCGGAGAAGATGACTTGGACTGTGAGCTTCTGGTTGAGTTGGCAAGTTTTAGGAAGAGATGTGTTGTTTGTGAAGGAAAAGTAGTAAGAGCCTGTTCTTGATGGATACCACTGAAAAAACAAGAATTTGGGTTAAAATGTAGTGAAGTTTAACAAATAGTGTTACTTAACTGTGACTGTCAATGAATTGAGGAAAATCATCATGTAATTGGGATAAGAAAATCAGTAAAAAGTAAATCATTACAGTGAAATTAAACAAATACTAAAATTTTGTAAAATTCGACTTTTTAAGAAGGTAAAAGGAAGAATTACAGTCCAGAATTAAGATGATTCTTAACTGTGATTATCATTGAGCCCTGAACATATGACTTTTTGTGTGTATTAAACTATTAATCTAATAATTTTTCAATTCTTTTTGTCAGAACAAAGCATTGGATTTCAAGTTCTATTAATATATCCACTGAAACTATTAATTAAAAATAAATAAAAACAGGGGAAGAGGAGCTTTTTTGTCAATCTCAAGAACAGAGAAAAAAGGGGCTTGTAAAAAAAGATCACAACTTTATGAAATTTCTGAGAAAACCCAGATGGAATTCACAATCTTTGTAAAGAATTAAGAAATGTGTACCGAGAAGGAAGTGGAATTAGGTTTTGTAAGAAGAGTGGCTTGTGTAAAGTCGCAGACATTGAATGCATCTTTGTTTCTGAAGATGTAGAGATCGTATCCGTACTTATGTCTGAAAACTAAAGTAAGATCACACCATTAAATTAATTATGAGAAAAATTTAACAAAAATAGGAAAATTAAAGGACTGGTTCTTGTAAAAAGAGCACTTACTAACAGAGTCGCCGACATGAACAGTGGGGGCTTTCCAGACAGAGACACCGTCGACGAGAAACGTGGCGGAAAGAGAAGGACGAGAGAAGAAAGAGAGGAAGCAAATGGAGTAGAAGAAGAAGAGCATTGAGGAGGTGAGATGTTTCTGAGACCAAACCATGTTTTTAGCTTGAAATGAGGAGATGCGTAGGTTTAAGAGAGATTCCGAAATTAAAAAAGAAGTAAAGAGCTTCAATGATGTCTTCCCTTTTTATCTTTGCAGGCCTCTCTCTCTCACACACACATTTAGGTCAAAAGAGAGGTTTAGTGCCTATGGAGCTTAGGGAGAAGAGAAGAAGAAAAAGGGGTGAGAGACAGAGAAAGAAGTGTTTTGAGAAGTGTGTAGTGAGTGTCTCTGTCTCTTTTACTTTTATGTGTTGAAGAAATGGAGAAGATTTAGAATTTTGAGGACTGTTTTTTTATTTTTAATTAATTTGTTCCATAACTATACTTGAATTAAGAATGAAATATTATTTTCTTATGAGTTTGAATTATGAGTGCTAACAAGTTTACATTTTAAATGACATTTTGACTAATGTAAGTCTATAACTAGTTTTTCTTGACTATAAGTTGATATCTTGTAATGCTCTAAGATAAATAGTAATATTAAAATTATCTTATTAATTTACATACATAGATTATGTATCAAAAATTAACATTTAATCTTTCGTTTGAACTAAACTTCATCACAATATACTCATGCATGGTTTATTTTAGTTCAAGAATAAGATATGAATACATAGCAGAGAGGTATCATTCTGGTAAACGGTAAAAAAAAGGTGCCATCATTTTTATCACGGGAAATAATGCTCTGGTAGTAAAAATCTGACAAACAAAAGTGAACCAACAAAAAATAACATGTATAATAATATAAAAAAAAAAAGAAAAGAGAGAAAAAAGTAATAAAGTGAGAATTATATAACAAGATAATGATGGTGATTATTATTCTTAAATCATTACGCCTGTGATTTAACCCCAACATGTTTCTGATGCTCCCTACTTTACAATTTAGTCTTATAATTATGTATCTTCTAACGTTTTGTTAATAAAAAATAAACTTTTTCCATCTTTAATCAAACGAAAATAGACATACTATAACCATAACTTTTGGATTCGATCTATATCGACACAACTTTATGGGCTGGAAGCAATTATACACATATCTTTGTTTTAGGCCAGAGGAATCATCAGTGCTAATCTTATCTTTTGTTAAGATAATGAGTGTATTATAAATTTCATTACATTAACATTTGTATAACACACACGGTCCCTTGCCCCCATATAATTTTCAAATGATTATTATCACCTTAAAAGTAAAATAAATAATTGTATTTGGATTTTAGACATGTATTTTGCTAAAATCTAGTTGGTCTTTAATTGTCAGTAATTGTATCGACGGTAGAAGTTAAATTGTATCGATCAAGATCAATAAGTTCCAAACACAACTGTAATAGACAAAACCAAACATCTACTTCAAAACAAACAAAATAACAAAATTAAGCTTCAGGGATTTGTCTCTGCATGTTTTTGTTTGTATGTTGTGTTTGATACTTATATAAAGGTAAGAAAATTTTCAAATTTATTTTTGAAGTCTTCCAAGAATATGTATAGCAAATAATCGGAGAAAACAAATGACACCGGCACGAGCATCGTGCACCTTTTCCTTTTTGTATAGAAAACCACATGAACCACACAGCCTTATGTGTTACACGTCTCGTCGTATTTGTGTTTAGCTTTTTATGCTAAAACGACAACTACTACATGCCAAAACGCGAGCTGCGGCCAAACCCCCAAAAATCTCTTGCCGTTGCTTTTGATGGACTTCATAGTTTAAACAATCCAGTATTAATTTTTGTTAATTTCTACTATATTAAAGAACAGTTTACGATAGATACTAAATAGGGTTTTCTGTAAAATATGAAGAAGAAAGAAAGAAACGTCGTTTTGAAAACAAATTTTAAACTAACAAATTCTAAAACGATAAATTTAAAATATTAACAAATTTTAAAATTTAAAGAAGAACTAATGTCAGTGTCAAAAATATTAATTTCAATCTGATTCAACACAAAACTTTAGATCATAATATCACGTTTAAATCAAACAGGCAAACGATAACATATACTCCGTATATAATATTTTAGGTCCACAATGGTTCAAATTGTTGAAAATCGACTTCTCTTGCCTTTTATGTTTACAAGTTCAAGATAGGCCGGTTTATAGCCTTAAGTTCAAGTTTCATCAAGATGTTTATGATATTAAACTCTGAACGGCTTAATGTCTCTACGACCTCCACATATCTGCGACAGTACTTCTGGTTATTATAATCAATCAATGTATGATTTTGTATTACACAAGTCTTTTGTAATAAGTTTAATATAATAATTACTCTCCATTTCAATTAAGTTTCACTTCTTAACAAAGAGTTAAGATCAATCACTGTTTTTACACATACTAAAAAACTTAGGAATTGCATGTTTCATTTTCTTTAAATCAATCCTGAAAATTTGTCACACGGAGAAACCAGAAAGGTCGAGCCTAAATTAGTATAAACTCAAAAATAATTAATGTGAAAGAAAAAAAAGTCTTTAAGATAATGTATTAGCGATTAGACTGATTTTTTTTTATATATATATATAAAAGGGGTCGAAGCAGAGTTGCTGACGAAAAAACGCGTGGCGAATATTAATGGTCGACGGGATATTTAAATTAAACGTCAATTAAAAGAAAAAAATAATAACAATAAATAAAAAAGAGAAGAAGAAAAGGAGCGGTTGAGTTGAAATTGGCTGGCGCGTACTCGTCAACGACGCGCGTGGAGTGTTTTCGTGCCTCACTTAGACAAAGATTTTGAGTTTTTCTTTCTCGTTCGTTTGTGTGATCTGACAAGCTCGAAGAATCATCGAGATCGTGATCGAATTGATTTGATAATGGTGAAGGAGACGGAGTTTTACGATGTCCTCGGCGTTAGCCCCACCGCTACGGAGGCTGAGATTAAGAAAGCTTATTACATCAAGGTTTCAATTCCAATCGCTACGATTCTGTTTTTTGTTAAAAGTTTTGTAATTTCGGTGAATTCTTAGCTAAAGAGTGTTGATTTTGGGTATTCACGAGATTTGATCAGTTTCCCAAGTTGTGATTTTACAGGTTGATAGATTTAGACATTACGAATTGCTGCTTATTGTTGGCTTGTTTTGTCTCTTTATCTACAGGCACGCCAAGTACATCCAGATAAAAACCCTAATGATCCTCAAGCTGCTCATAATTTCCAGGCAAGTTCTCTGATTTTCAATATTGTGACGAGAAAGAGCTTAAACACTATTGTTTGAATTGGTATCTAGGAAAAAACTACTTGAAGGTTTGGAAAAGTGTTGTAGTGGTTACTCTTGTAGATTTAAGACAGAGGGTGTTGTCTACATTTTGTGTTTTTAATCATTCTCCCTTGTACATGAGCACCTTGTTCTTCTACAAGATGCTTGGGTTTGTTGTTTTATATGATACCATGTAGAGAACTGATCAAAGGATCGTTGTATTGATTAGGTTCAGGGTACATCTCTATATATATACATACATGATAACTATCAACATTTAGAGAAAAGGCTAGTCTAAGATTACAATAGATATTATATGTCAAAGCATATACTCTTCTGTTTAGTGTTTGCTTTGGATGGTATAGCTGTTATCATACTCTGTAAAAGCATATTAGCAGGACTAATAGTGACATTAGTTTTTGTGGAAAATCCGGTAATCAAGAGATCAGCATAGTATGACAGTGGTCTCAGTTTTCTTTGTCTTTCGTGATCTATTTTTTTTTTCTTTGGTGAATCTTTGTGGATGAGCTTTTTGAAAACTTAAGTTCTTATATAGGTGTTGGGAGAGGCCTACCAAGTGTTAAGTGATCCAGGGCAACGTCAGGCCTATGACACATCTGGGAAGTCAGGGATTTCAACGTAAGTGGCTTTTCTTGTAAAGTTTTTATGGGTGATTCCCTGTTTGCACCATTTGGAGTTTGGTAACATGGATCTTGATCCTGTTGCTAAAGCATTTGGCCTGTTCCTCAGTTCTTACTTGTGATATTCATTCTTGCAGGGAGATCATTGATCCCGCGGCTATATTTGCTATGCTTTTTGGGAGTGAACTTTTTGAAGAATACATAGGGCAGCTTGCTATGGCATCAATGGCTTCACTTGATATCTTCACTGAAGGGGATCAGATTGATACTAAAAAGATTATAGAAAAAATGAGGGTAAATATTATTTATTGATCTATCCTGCTTAAGAAAAGTCTTTGATCACTGTCCGTTCTTGACATACTATACGTCAAGCATAAAACACGAGAAAGCATATCTAAATTTTCTCATCTTTTCTCACACTCTATTGACATCATAAAATATATGTTCTTAAGAGACAAGACATTTGTTTTGATTATCAGAAGGAATAAAAGAATTGTGCCATATTTTCTCCCTTTGTTCATAATTTCCTAAGCATGTTAGACTGCTTTTGGTTTCAGGCTGTTCAGAAAGAAAGAGAAGACAAACTTGCTCAGATTCTTAAGGACCGCCTCAACCTATATATGACGAACAAAGATGAATTTATTAGCAATGCTGAAGCTGAAGTAACAAGACTCTCAAATGCAGGTACGGTGTTTTGTAGCATATTTGTTCCCCTTTCATAGTTTATGCTTTCTCTTTCAATCAATGCCATATCTGTGGTAAAAACTCAACCTTATCTACTTATTTGTCTATCTTCAACAGCATACGGGGTGGAAATGTTGAACACAATCGGATATATATGTAAGACAAGCGGCGAAAGAGCTTGGAAAGAAAGCTATTTATCTCGGTGTACCATTCGTAGCTGAATGGTTTAGGACGAAAGGTCACTTCATCAAATCCCAAGTAACAGCTGCAACAGGTTAGTTAGTGACTTAGGTACAAAGGCGACCTCAACAACATCAGGTTCATATCATATGGTAGAAGTTGTAGTATGGGTTACATAAGGAACATTTAATTCAACTACTGAAAAAGAAACCCCAAGAACACTCGCCTAGCTTTCTAGAACTTGGCCTCCTCTCTTAGGGAGTAACATTTAGTGACTTTTATTTTTCTGTCTCCTAGGTGCATACGCTTTATTCCAGCTGCAAGAGGAAATGAAAAGGCAGCTAAGTGTTGAAGGCAATTATACCGAGAAGGAACTTGAAGAGTACATGAAGACCCATAAGAAAGTGATGATTGATTCTCTGTGGAAGCTCAATGTTGCTGATATCGAGAGCACTATCTCCCGTGTTTGTGAGCTGGTACTCTAGCTATTCACTAGTTGACGGAAGTAGCATCTTGGTCAATTTCTGTGTTGCAACCACTTTATGATTATTTTTTTGTCCTAGGTACTTCAAGATCCCACTGCCAAGAAAGAGGAGCTTCGTGCAAGGGCCAAGGGGTTAAAAACTCTAGGGAAGATCTTCCAGGTAAATCTTTTTTCATTGCCTTCTTGGAGAATATAGTTTAAATGTAAAAAGGAAGGACTGATAGCAAAAAGGCTTTACTTTTGCGGTCATATAGAAGAACAAGATAGCCAGTGAGAGTGATCCTTTAGTAAGAGCCGAACTTCACAAACTAAACGGACATGGTCAAGAACATGATCATGCATCCACATCACCAAAATCTGATGAAGCATCTCGCTCTACATTTGGACCTCAGGTACGTCTCCTTCCTCTTTAGCCATTCCATCTACTAGTATGTTTCACATAAAGAAAAAACAAGGAACATAACCTTGTGTAATCTTAATATCTCCCCCTTACAGTAACCTCATCTTTGGAAACCTTTTTCACACATCGTGAGACACAGCTCCATGTTTGTTTATGAGAGATCACGAGATATGATTGATTCTGTTTGGTATTATTGTTTTAGCCAGAAGTACAAACTGTTTCACTTGTAGTCTCTTACAAATACTAAAAGTTGTTGAATACCATTGTGAATTACTAATTGCCACTAAAGGACTCATGAAATGCAATGTACACCACGTTCTTATAGGAACCCCAAAGCCCTTATGTGGAAACGCCAAAACTTGGAGAAGAGCAATTCAACCAGTACTTCCCAAGGCCTGCGCCGCCTCCAGGAGCGCAGAGACACTCTTAAACTGGCAATGGATTGATTCAGATGAACAAGAAGGTTATTTTCCCTTTTGTGCTATATAATATAAGTCTTTATGCATATTGATATATTTTGCAGGCGGTGGTATTACCATTATGTAATTTTTATTATTTTTAGAAGAAGAAATTATTGGATCTTTGAAAAAAAACACATGAAATCTCATCTTAGACAATGTATAATGTTTTTATTTTATTTATATATATTTGATGTTTGGAGATCATGTGTTGTGATTCTTATTCTCGTTACTATATCAAGAGACATATAAAGCAGATATGTAAATAGCTGTCTTTACCACTTGCTTTGTGAAAAAAAAAAACAACTTAAAAAATCTGTTACATGTTCATATTTTCTTCTGTATTCTTTGGGAAATAGACATAAGATCTACTGTAGATAATTAAATAATAAACCAATTGTTTTGGGCAAACATTTTACATCGAATTTATTCGTAGATCAATAATAATAGTCTATTTAATAAACTATTAAACGATGTTAGTTTAGTTCTAAACGTTAAAAAGAGTTTTGAAAATTTAAGGCATGACGTTATGGGTAGGAAATGACAAGAGTACCCTTAAATGAAACGCATTGTGGTAATTAATCATATGCCTACCAAAAACGGAAACATAAGGTCAAATACGGTAAACGACAAGCGTCAAATTATCACTATATTACCAAATTTTCGAGAGAAGAATTTTTATTTATAAAAATATAATAACCAAAGGCCTCAAGGAAAGCATCAATGGCGGAAGAAGCTTACTTGTTATAGCCACGAGTGAAGAAGAAGAAGAAGAAGAAAGCCACTGTACAAATAAAGAAGACGATACACACAGAGAGAGAGATACGTGTTTCTGTGTGTGTATTTACGCTTTTTCGGTTTTTTCTTCGCGGCTTCCACGAAGAAGCCGAACGGCGTGATTCGAATATTTTTTTTCTCTACACTCTCGTCCGGATCTGAATTGTGGTGGAACCAATTGGTTTCTGATTTCAGATTTCGAATTTTCAATTTCGTAAAATCCAAATGGAGAAGACAGAGAATGAGAAGAAGCCATCGGCGGTATCTGACGTCGGAGCATGGGCTATGAACGTAACGAGCTCCGTTGGGATCATCATGGCGAATAAACAACTAATGTCATCATCTGGTTTCGGCTTTAGCTTCGGTTTGATTTCCTGATCTGTATCTCTCCCATTTTCATTGGATCTGCATGATCATTTTCGTTTATACAAATTGTGTGATTTTGAGAGTTTTGGATCTCTTTTAGCAATGGATTTGTGATTTTTGTATTTGCAGCGACAACTCTTACGGGATTTCACTTTGCTCTCACTGCTCTCGTTGGTATGGTGTCGAATGCAACTGGTTTATCTGCATCTAAGCATGTTCCTCTTTGGGAGCTTCTTTGGTTCTCACTCGTTGCTAATATCTCAATCGCTGCTATGAATTTTAGTCTCATGTTGAACTCTGTTGGTTTCTACCAGGTAAAGCTCCTCTTTGATTTTGGATTCCCAATTTTCTCAAATTGGTTTTGAGATCATTCACATTGTGTTTGATTTTCAACTTAGATTTCGAAATTGAGCATGATTCCGGTTGTTTGCGTGATGGAATGGGTACTACATAGTAAGCATTACTCGAGAGAAGTGAAGGCATCTGTCATGGTTGTCGTTGTAGGAGTTGGGATTTGTACTGTGACTGATGTCAAAGTTAATGCCAAAGGTTTCATTTGTGCTTGCACTGCCGTTTTCTCCACTTCTCTCCAGCAGATCGTAAGCTTTTATATCATATTCAATCTTCTTCCGTTTCTTTATTTTGATTTTGTGCACTCTGGTTCTCTACAAGTCTCAAACTTTTGTCAAATAAGTGGTAATCTGGCAGTGACTCTGCCTTTTCAATCTTTGTGGACCAATGCGTTAAGCGTTTCATTAGATAAGTTGTCGTGTAGCTTTGAGTATTGATCATAAGTTGTCGAACATGGATAGTGTGTTACTTAATGTTCATAAATCTGTGAGATAAGATGACTTAGTGCTTGATACTCCATACGGAAAGTCTTACCTTGAAAAGGTTCTTTCTTGATGATGATGTTTTCTGATAAATTTTCTCTCTGTGAACAGTCAATAGGTTCACTGCAGAAGAAATACTCAATCGGATCTTTTGAGTTGCTGAGCAAAACAGCTCCAATCCAAGCCATTTCACTCCTCATCTTTGGTCCATTTGTTGACTATTTCTTGAGTGGCAGATTCATTTCTACTTACAAGATGACTTATGGCGCAATGGTAAGTATCCAAAAATCTCATGCGCATTGGTGGTTATAAAATCCCAACCTTATCTAACAATTGATAACCATCACACAGTTATGCATTCTTCTCTCCTGCGCATTGGCGGTTTTCTGCAACATAAGCCAATATCTCTGCATCGGCAGATTCTCCGCTACTTCCTTCCAAGTTCTTGGTCACATGAAAACAGTCTGTGTCTTAACATTGGGATGGCTTATCTTTGATTCGGAGATGACATTCAAAAACATAGCAGGGATGGTCTTAGCTGTGGTGGGAATGGTGATATACAGTTGGGCAGTCGAGTTAGAGAAACAGAGAAAGTCGAAGGTGACACCGCATGGTAAACACAGTATGACAGAAGATGAGATTAAACTTCTCAAAGAAGGTATAGAACATATGGATTTGAAAGACATGGAGCTTGGAAATAATAAAGCATAAATAAGCTATTCAAGAGAAAGTTTTTTTGGTTATATTTTTGGTTTCTAAATTCTTCAACATGTACTCTTTTTTTTTTGCCCTTTTTATATGTTCTTTGTCTCAAAGAACCTTTTTAGCCTCTCTATGATGAGCTCTCCTCTGCAGAGCACATTCTTTTTCTATAGAAATATATGATTTTTCTACTGCTTTGCGTAAATACATGTGGTCATTAGGACATTTGGGAGTTTTAAAAAGACTCTTGATTCTGATTGAAAAAAAGGGAAACTAATCAAAACTCATCTTAGACAAATGTTGTTTTTATGTTGTTTTTACATCTTTTTTTAGTAATGTTGGAGTAATCATGTGTTCTGTTTCAGATCATTGTTTCTGCAGTTTCTTTCTCTTTCCTGTTTGATTTGGTATAAATATGGATTTTTTCTGATGCAATAAACACCACAATGTGGACAAAGTGGCAGCATTGTCTCATATAGAAAGTCAAATTTCATTACAAGACTGTAAAATCTATAAAAACCACGAGGTTACAAGCAATCTAACATGAAGAAACATATCTAGATTCCATTGAGAGTGACCACAACTCTGCGTGCTGTTGGAGCATCACGGTGTTCACATAGCCATATTCCCTGAAACCCCAACATTTCCAACACAATAGCTATAAATACGACAAAGTAAATGCAAACGAGATTTACGAGACATACATTTGAATTGCTAATAATTGTAGTAATGAAAGATCCATTACCAATCAATCCAAAGAAGTCAGTACCATAAATGAGGAAATATGAAAACATGTGAATGTAGTAAAGTATAGTCAGATGAAGAAATTTATTATTACCTGCCAGGTTCCCATGTTGAGTTTGCCTTTTGTTATTGGGATTCTGCAGAACAAGAAACATTTTTTTAAGTGAACATCCAAAAGCTAACAATAAACTGTGCTAAAACAAACTAGGGTTATAATAAAGATTGTGGCTCACGTGAGTTGACATCCAAACATTGATGATTTGATATGAGCTGGCATGTCATCAGGACCTGCAATTATTTTACACAATTCAATTCTCAATACACAAGATTCAGATGAAATGCAAAAGAGAATCACATTTCAGTGGATAAAGGGAACAGCTTTGGTTTTATCGTTTGTTCATATATTAGCTTTAGTTTGATGAAACCAACAACTAACCTTCCATGGTATGCCTCCAAGGCGCTGAATTTCCCTGAGTTTCAACCAAAAACCGTGATCAGTTAAAACCAACAAAGTGCAAATACTAATGAAGCAAGTAAGAAGAACATAGATACCTCAGGAACAATCCTGTTCAAGAAAGTCTCAGTATCAGCCTGAACATCTGGATCATAATTCTCATTGATTGTCAAAGAAGCACTCGTGTGTTGTACTGAAACCAACCAAAAAAAAACATTTGCTTAATCAAGAATTCCAAAAAAGAAAAAAACAGAGCAGAAGCAGAGTGAGAATGAAAACTCACAGAAGACATGAGCAAGACCACAATTGAAACCTGACAAGTCTTGCCCAATTTCCTTCACTATCTGTTTTCAAAACAAAACAAACTTAGGAAACCCAAATCGAATTCACAAACCACAGCTGAAATAAACTAATCAATCGAGCAATTCAGAATCACTTCGAATTGAAACAAAAACACAACTACACGAAAGATGAAACCTTTGGAGTAATAAGATGACATCCACGACGTAGCGGTGGAAGTGTGATGGTTTTCTGAGCCCACTTAGGACCAGAGGAACTCGCCATTGAAGCTCGATCGGTAGCTGGATTCGCTGGAGTCAAAACCGATCTCACACGCAGAGGAACAACACCAGAGAACAAGATCGTCGAGCTCTGCATAGCTTTTAGTGTTCCTCTAAGCCCAATAATAACAACAACAATGGCCAACAAAATTCCTCCTCCAACTCCAATCCAAAACCTCCCAATAGGGCCTTTCACTTTCACCATCATCACCATTCATTTTTCTCACTTTACTTTGCTTCTGGGCCTTAGAATTTTTGTGTAAAAACGGCGTGTAGTTCAGCTCTCGTTTCTCAAAATATAACTACACGCCGTTTTTTAAATGTTTATAATTTCGATTTACATTATATAGTAGAATCATGTCTTCTTGTTGTTGTTGGTGGTTGGTTCCTCCATGATTACATAACGGAAATTTGAGTTTTCCGGTGAATATTCTATGTTTCTGCTCTTCTTCTTCAACAATTTCTGAGCTATTCTCTTCGTGGAGTCCGGTAAACACTTCAACGTTGTTTCCATGAGGGTAGATGCATCCAATGACATGTCTTTAGCATAGTAATGAACGATCTTGGGCAACAATATCTTTGTCTCGTTGTGTATACGAACATTGTTTCTTATAAACTCTTCTTTGGATTTTCTTAGATCCCGGAAAACGCAATCCGCTGTGTAAACCCGAACCTGATAAACAATATAACTGTAAAAGATTAAAATCCAAGAAAGAATTTGTTAAAAATAGTAATGAGCCAGTTCTCTACCGGAGGATCTGTAGAAGCTCCTGAAGAAAGAGCGAAATGAGCCAATGCCTCGGGATATTCCAAGGCGTATATGTGTTTGACATTACAAGTTTTCGACTTTCTTGATGGCGAAAACAATGTCTGCAACAACTGTTTACAATAATGCTTAGTTACAAGTTATGAAATGTAGTGAAAGTGAAGCAAGAAAACAAAGAGAGAGTGTGTTGCATACAGGTGGTGAGAAATGCGTACGAATGCCTAAGATTGAGCTTTGGATTATGTAAGGGTTTACTCGGTAGCCTCCAACATCATAAGCTGCCTGAGACATGTAAAGAATGGCTAAGTAACAACAAAGATGTGAATCAATCAGTCTAAGAGATGTAAAGACCAAACCTTTAAAACCGAGGTGTTTCTGGAGCGGTTGTGAGTTCCGTAGGCTAAATAGGCCTGCAACAGAGAGAGAATCAAGAAAAGATCGAAGCTTTTATACAAGAGACAGAACCAATAAGAGACTAGTTATTGTATGCTTACATGCATTGTGAGGGCATTGTGAATGTTTATCCAAAATGCGAGCTTCTCTTCGCGTTTCATTCTACTCGGATCAACCTTCTCAAGCTTTTGAACTAGTGATCTATACACACCAATTGAGTAACATTTCAGATCAACCTAATTAATTGTAATGTTACAGAAGAAAATTGTTGGTGTTTCAAGTATCTATATACCTGAAGTTTTGGAGCATAAGAGCAGCGTGATTGAAACTACCATCATCCAGGTGAAGTTCTAGAGATTCTATTACAACAATGCCTGGCACATTTGCTTCTTTGTGTTCCTCGTGACGCGAGTTCCAGCTATCAAAAGTGGTTTTGGAAGAGACAGATGAAGGTGAAGAAGAAGAAGCCTGAAGACAAGAATTGGTTCTGGCTTTGCTGGAGAGTGTACAATATACAGAACATATGCATCTTAAGATATCTTCAGAGAGCCTACTCGGGTTCACAATGTTATCTACGATAAGCGAAGAACCCAGAAGATCTCCAAGAGTACTGTGATTAGCAGAAACATATCTACTCTTCTCCTGCAATAATGCTCAAAATATGTCTTTGTCAGATTCATCACAAGGTTTGTTAAACAAAGCTAAGGAAAATGCAAATGGGGTTTGCTTACTTACTCTTGCAGACAAAGCTTTTAAGCTGGCTTGGAAACTCCGAGGAGGACACGAAGAGGAACATTCAGACGCCGGAGAAGCTTGATAATGGTAGCTGAAGACACTGGTAACGTCAGATTGCTCGGATTTGGGACAAAACTGATTAGACACTAAGCTTGTTTCAGTGTGAGGAGAAAAAGAAGAAACTTGTTCATCGAAAGCTGTCCTATAAAGAGAGAGCAGATATTGTTCTGTACGCAGAATCTCAAACTCAAGTGAAGCAATTTCTTTCCTCAAATCTTCTGAAGACTGCAGAAAACACACAACATAAGAACTATAGTACATTTGCCAAAACAATCTGTGAACATTCAAAGCTATAAAAATCAAACCTTTGGCATAACGTTGCAATTAGAATCCTGGTAAGTTAGTAATCTCTTCTCAATTGATACACTCTGCCATGAAAAATGTGACTTTTAGAAACCAAAAGCTTTGCTTTTTAAAAGACAAACAAATGAAATTTGTTCCTCAGAAGAAACTAACCGGTTTAGTGTAGGTAGAGAATCTTGAAGGTGATGCAACAATCACATTCTGCTTCTCCCAGTTCCTGTGACCAAACCCATTTCACATTTTTTTGACCCAAATTGATTTCAATGAAAGAGAGAATGTGTTTATCGTTTACCTTGGAGAAGATGAAGAACAATCGTTTGAAGAAGGTGAAGGAGAACAGAGACCCATCATTTTCTCACACTTTCTTGTCTGTTTGTAGAAATTCATCAGAGAATAATATTATGAGTATGAGAGGGAATAATAATAATAAAATTAAGACATCCCATCAAAGTATCTTCCTTTGAGACGTCTCAAGAGCATATCTCGAAAAGCTCCAGTCTTTTTGGCTTGTCGTTTATATGACTCCAAAACTTTGCAAAAAATTAAAAAGATGATTTTTTTTCTTTCATAACTTTCCGGGAAAATGAGCGAGAAAATCAGGAAAGTGAAACCGACATTTTTCCCGGGAGTTCAGACGAGAGAGTATCCCAAGTATTAATCATTCTATACAAATCAAGATTTAATACTAGTATTTATTAATGTCAGACCTTAAAAATTAGTAAAATTTATTAATATTATTTCTTTTTTAATGACCTATTAAGATATTAATAATTCATAGTACACTGATACACTCACTTGTTTAGTGCTCAAAACTCAAGTATACTCTGAAATAATGCAACGAATTATAAGAAATGTAAAAACATGGAATGCATCGATTATTGAAAACATAAAACATAAGGATATATTTTTATACTATAGTATATTTTGTATCAATGGAATATACTGTATTATTAGAGAAATAAAATAAAACAAGCAATTAATGCAGTCGATCTCAAAACAACTAAGTAAGTGGGGACAATTTAACACCATCCATAAAAGAGTTGACATTGTGACATAAAATAGTAGTAACAAATATTTTGTGGACACGAATAACAAATTTATGGACATTTTTTTACCATTTCATTCCGAATAATATAATTGTAAACCTTGGCTTGGAAAAAACATTTCCAAAAAAAAAAAATTGTAGAAGACTCAAACATCTTTTAAAAAATATGTTTTTACAAAGAGATTTTAATGCCATTGATGCTGATTATGCATGTTATATATTAGTTAGATTTAAACAAAAAATGGGGAGAGAACAAGTAACAATAGTACAGGCTCTTAAGAAGAAGTATGAAAAATTATAAAATTCTACACTGAGAGATTTGATAGAAGATGGTGGAAGTGGGACTAGGTGTCTCATGTTTATTTTTTTTGGAACGTTTGTGTAAAAGACAGATATACTTGGATAAGAACAAGTAAATGAATAAAAATAGATTGGTGAGAATGTGGCAAATTTTTGTTAAAAATCATATAAAGTTCCAAATCGAGTTTCATTTTCGACGTGGTCCGTTGGGTCAGACCAATAAATGCCTCCAGTTTTTGGCACCACTCTTCTATAATTAATATCAATGTGAACAAAATGTGGAAATATCGACTGAATTTAAGAGGTGCAGCTTTCTATGCAATTTAATCAAAATTGGGTATGCATCATTCTTTTTTTCTTTTCTTTTTTTGATTGGTTGGACTTGGTTATCATTCATAAGAGACTTGAATATGACCTTCATTCAGGGCCGTGCCTCAATGAAAGAATTTGAAACATTGGCCTATGGCATCCATTTAAAAAATAAAATTAAGGGGCATCTATTTTATCAACTTTGAAGGTTTTATGGTAATATAAGGTAAGTAAAACATGGACTTCTAAATATAGTTAAGCAATTAAATATATATATATATATTATTAAATACTGTAAAATATTGTAATTATGAATTAGTGTAAAAAGAGAAATTTGTTCGGTTTGTTTTAGATTACGTCTTACGATGGTTCAAGTTGATTTTACAGTGACAAAGCTTTTCTTTCTACTTATTGTTTTTCTATAAAAAAAAATTTGCTTATCTAAAATTACTTACGTTTTTATTTTTATCTACTTTGTTTGTTTTAAAAAAAAAAAATTTACACCCAACATTTTAATTTATCAGGGCATTTTATTTTTTTCGCTTCCGTCATCCGTTGATGTTAGCACGGCTCTGCCTTCATTGGGTAAATTTTTGGGATAGTATAAGGACAAATACAGTAGTTAAGAAAAAAAGTAAAATTACTTTGCTAATCATTACACAAAATGTCAGAAAGGTAATCATTATTAAAAAGCGATTACAAAAAAAGAGTCATAAGAGTAATTGGAAAATACATTTTTAGTTCCTCACAAACAAAACAAACCGTAGTCAGTCAAAGAAACTGGGCCTAATTGACTCAGCTCTGAAATGGGCCCATACTAAAAATGGGCTTTTTTCTCGCTTTATACGTCGCTGTTCTTAATTTTCTACTCTACTGACGTTTTGTTACTTAGGGCTAGATAATAGAATAACTTTCTTAACCAAAGTATTTTTTATTATTTTTAATTCATTTGAACTTACAATATCTTAACAAAAGTATTAGGCTAGACTCCGACCATAAATCGGATTACATTTCATTTGGTTTCTTGAAATTTAATATATCAGATTTTGTTTGACTTCATTTTCCTTCGAGACTTTGACTATGAGATGCGAATGGGTGGTTTTATAAGTATTGTTATAACTTATAAATATCATGTAAGATGGATATACTTTTAAAAAATTTGGAGCCGGCAAATATGACAAACGAAAAGCAAATGGTTAGCCGTGCTGGACCAAACATTGCCTTTAATTCTCCGTCACCATTTAAGAATTTAGATTATTCTTATTCGTATCTCTATCAATGATACTCCCTCTGTCCCATTTTATAAGATGTTTTGTGTAAAAGCATAAAGATTAAGGAATAATTAATGTTTACTTTTTTATAGGAATTCAGCCAATAGAAAAAAAGACTGCAGAATTTAAATGGTCATAACATACTAAATAGATATAAATTATGCATAGAAATCTGGAAAAATCTTATAAAATGGAACAAGGAAAAAATGCTAAAACATCCTATAATTTGGGACAGAGGGAGTATAAAATTGATATAGTAACAAAGCAATATTCTTATCAATATCGTTTTGTTGTTGTATCAAATAAAATATAACTTGAATAACTATATATGTTCTTTCAAATATCATTCGTTTTCTTAATATTTTCGGTATATTTTTACGTCTTCTACCATTCTTTTTTTCTATATATAACTCGAAAATTCATAGTTCAAATTCTATATGGATTTTGAAAGTATGTATAGACCAAAAAAAACTATAGATGATAAAAAGTTGACTAATAATAAAAGTTTCGTTGATGGAACCAAGGTTTTAATTAAGCTTAAAATCGCACTCCATTCAGAAGAATTCCTATATGCGATTTAAAAAATCTATAGGTGCATGCAACTTTCTATATTTATTTTTTGATATTTGAATTGTGTGACTAAATTAGTTTGATGGATTGATGATCGGAAATAATCTGAATTTCCTCAAAACTTCTCTTAACATCCGATCTTATGAGAAATGGGCAAATGATTTGCACGTAAAATATTCATAACATTTACATTTAAACAATAAGAAGAGGGAACCATGGGGATGAAAGTGCACGTGAAAATCAGACTAAAGGAGATGGTTGTGGAGCCAACTATGTCTCTATGTTAGGGTTAATTGTACCCTCGTGTGCATCACCCATTTCTCTACCTTCTTACAAAAATAAAAATCTTAAAAGATTTTGAGAATCTATAATGGAGAACAAGAAAAATCAAACGACAGTACTATTTCACACAAAAAGGGAACAAAAGAACATAGCAATAAGATTATAAGAGTCTCACATACCTTGCTGGATATCACGATTTTGCATGCCTCTGTCATTTTCTGGGACGTGGGCTTCTTTCCCTATAATTTATAATTTTTTGTACATAAATAAGTTATAACAAAAAAAATTTAATCAATATTCTGGTACGGTGAATGTATCTCAAGATATCGATCAAGGAGGGTGTCTCTATAATTTGTTTTTTCTAAAGTATTATGTGAAATACTTAATTAAATATTGAATTGGGTGTTTTCTGCAGGGACAATAATTCCATGATTGAATACTGATTTTTATTAGTGTATACTCCTTGTATATTAGTCCAAGCAGCACTATGCAATTTTCAATCAAAGTAAAGCGTGCGTGTGTGTCTATTATAAGGGTTTTGTTATTCCCATCGAATCTTAAATTATTGTATTCACTGAGACATTCAAATAAAATAAAGGAAATGAGTCAAGTGACGGGCAGATGTAACTCGGTGCGATCAAAGAGACAAAACCAGACAAAGAATTTGTTTAAAACAAAAAATAAAAGCAAAAGAGATAAGAGGTCCTACAGTGACGCATATTTGGAACCGAACCAGACACCGAAGCTAAAACCAAGATCCTCGATCCTGTTTGGTCACAGTCGCACATTGCTTTTAGCATGGAGGTTCACGAGGCACCGTATATACGTGCAATTGACATGCCGCATATGGTCCCTTAGGAATTTCAAATAATTACATATTCATAATGATAAAATTAAGCGGAGCCGAATTAGTTCGACCATTTGGGTGGAAATTTGTTTTAGTTGGTTGTTAGACTAATTAATACAAAATATATACCATGATACTTAGGCTTAGATTTTATTTTCTTTTAATACATCGATGTTTTGAACAAAAATTTGTAACTCTTTGTTTGATTAACCAACGTATAGTAAGAAATACTAGAGTCAATAAGAACTGTCCACTATCTCTTATCCTCTCCCTTTCAATCTACCTACCAAAAATATATTCCATGTGTTAACGTTATTACTATCATTATATCTTATGTGCGGTTTAGATTAGTGCTAGGATAGTCTCCAAAAACTAAAGCCACTAATATCTACAGTAATTCAGTTGTTTGGTAGCTATGAATGTTTCTGAAAGTTTAATTATACTGTTAGATATATAGTGTGTAGATTGAATCCATCTAGTCCATGGTCTAGTATGTACGGATAAATTAACACACCTTACCAAAAGAATGAAACCACCAGTCCACCACTATAGTATTTTGTACCCGATATTCGTAAGAATGATAGCTGCGTTTGTTAAATTTTAAGAGACTTAAACAATATCTTGGCGAATCATTTATGTGCTAAATTAACCCAAAGAAAATTAGATGTGCTATATCCAATTCTCTCTCAAGAACCAATTATTTATTTTAGAGGAAAAAAAGATAAAAGAGAATTGCATAGATAGTACTTTAAATTTTACATTTATAAATAAAAACGAACATGCACAAAACTTATTATAACATATCCACCGTACTTAATTTCACGATCTCAAAAGAAATATACTAAGCTCTTGTCCATAACTACCACCCGGATTCATCATATGAAACGATTCCGAGTCACTCGACCCAGTAACTCGCTCAAACCTAGCCCTCAAATACAACGTCTGCTCCTCCTCTTCCGACGGCAAAACTCCGGCTCCGACTGACACAGACTGCATCATCCTCAAGAAAACGGCGTCGTTTTCAGTCACCTTTCTCCTCACGGCAAATCCCATTTTCCTTCCGTTGCAATACATCGACCACACAGGAACATCAAAGATCGACGACGAACGACTGTTGCTGCTTCTACGACGGTCACACTCTAGGGCTATACGTAGAACACCTGCCTCGTCCATTTCTTTGGCTAACGCAGCCGTGGGAACAGCTAGCTCAAGGAGGAGAAGCGGTGAAGATCCCACGGCGGCGTCTTGCAGGCAGAAGCTGACTCTGCCACGACGGTGGCCGAAGAAAGTTCCACTTACGATGCTGTTACTCTGGGAGGAGGAGGAAGAGTGGTCTGAGGAGGAAGAGGAAGAGGAAGAGACTGAAACAGTGTCGTTTTGGTAAGGCTGTTGTTGGTAAGTGCAACAGTATGGGATCATGCATTCGATGAGTGATCGGAGTGTTCGTCGGTGACGGAATTCGCGAGAACAATCGACGGTGGTCGGAGTGGTTATGAATTGCATGTGTTGATAGTGATGATCTCTTTGCTTTCCTAAATCAACCATTGTCCTCATGAGTTTTTTGTTTCTCTCTTTTTAAAAGCTAAGTTGAGACTTGAGAGTGAAATTAAAAGAAGGGAATATTGAGCTCGTTTTTTGGTGAAGAAGAGGAAGCGTGATGACATATATGTATATAGGTGGTGGTGGTAATGGAGAGTGGAGACTTTTCGTTGTTTATTTTTGTTATTATATATTTCAATTATTATAAGTATAGTATTATTCTATACTGTATTAGATGTATATAGTTTTATACATACTTGTATAGACTATAGTTTTACATTTACATGTACATATTAATACTTGTATATAAGGTCTCATGTACAGATGATTAAGATTAATGAGAATCACAATTATTTAGCTCCAGTCTTAATATGGTATCAGAGCAAAATAACAAACTTTTCTCATTCTTCCGCCATTGTTAACGGCCTTCAAGATCTCATCGTCTTCTTCATATTTTCTTCGATTGAGCTCAAAAGTCTTCATCAATGGAGCTTCCGCAGTCTCAACGAATCTTCGATTTCATTTTTCTTGCTTTTCTTCGCTGTGATTGATCTTCTTTCGTTATCGCTATCTTCCATCTCTTGACGCAATCTTTTCTTTGACCTTGATTGTTTCTGGTTCTCTCTAATCAAATCCAGAACAATTTCTTTTCGTCGATCATTGTTTCAATCTTAGAAATGGGATCGATTCCGCCAAATCACACAGCGACCTCAGATTTACCTCGACAGATTACGGATCTATATGAGAATCCATATTATCTTCACTCATCGGACCACGCAGGGTTGATTATCGTCTCTGATCGACTTACTTCCGGATCGGAATTTCATTCATGGCGTCGCTCAGTTCGTATGGCGCTCAACGTCCGGAATAAACTCGGTTTCATTGACGGTACAATTCCTCAACCCCCTAGCACTCATAGAGATGCAGGATCTTGGTCTAGGTGTAATGACATGGTAGCTACTTGGCTTATGAATTCTGTTTCGAAGAAGATAGGCCAGAGCTTATTGTTTATGTCTACTGCTGAATCAATTTGGAAAAATCTAATGTCAAGATTCAAACAAGATGATGCACCTAGAGTCTTTGAAATTGAGCAACGTCTCAGTTCTTTACAACAGGGCTCTATGGATGTCACTACCTATTACACAGAGTTGGTAACTCTTTGGGAAGAGTACAAAAATTATGTTGAATTGCCTTTGTGCACTTGCGGTCGTTGTGAGTGTAATGCAGCTGCCTTATGGGAGAAATTGCAACAACGAAGCCGTGTCACAAAGTTTCTTATGGGTTTAAATGAAGCATATGAAGCTACTAGAAGGCATATCTTGATGTTGAAGCCTATTCCATCCATTGAGGATGTGTTCAACATGGTTACACAAGATGAAAGACAAAAGTCTATTAAACCTGTAGCTAAAATGGAGAATGTAGCATTCCAGAGCTCAGAGGTACATAATACTGGTTATAACAATGTTAGTAATGAGGATTCTGCTGCTGGTTATTACTCAGGACCGATTGAGAACACTGCCTATGCAGCCTTCAGACCTTCTCAGAGGCCATTTTGCACTAATTGTGGACGTTCTGGTCATACAATTCAAAAGTGTTATAAGATTCATGGTTATCCCCCTGGTCAGAAGCCTCCTCAACGTCCTCAACAGTCTTTTCAACCTCGTGGTCAATATCAACCAGCTCAAAGACCTCAGTATCCACAGTTTCCGCAACAATATCAATTTCAACAGAATCAGTATCCTCGAGCTCCTGCAGTTGCTAATGCAGTAATGGGAGCTACTCCTTATATTCCTTCTCCTGCAATGACATCAACAAATCTTGATCTCAGTTCTTTTAGTCAAGATCAAGTTCAATCTTTGATTCATCAACTCAATACTCATATCCGTGTTCCAGAACAGTCAGCTCCTTTTCCATCAGCTACAATCACTGACCATGGAGCTATGGCTGCAACATCTTCTGCTGGTAATGTTTCTATTGAGTTTCCTTCTACTAGTTTACGTTATGAAAATCATTCTTTCACATTTCAACATCATTGTCTATCATCACTATATTCTATTCTTTCACATGATGCTTGGATTGTTGACAGTGGGGCTACTAGCCATGTATGTTCTGATTTGACCATGTTTAGTGAGACTTTCCCTGTCACAGGTGTTACAGTTTCTCTCCCCAATGGCACTAGAGTACCCATTAGTCATACAAGCACAGTGCATTTATCATCATCTTTAGTTTTGCATAATGTTTTATATGTTTCAACCTTCAAGTTCAATTTGCTAAGTGTCAGTTCTTTGTTAATACATGATAACTGTTCTGCTCATTTTTACCCTGATGCTTGTTATATTCAGGACCATACTCGGGGCTTGATGATTGGTAGAGGCATTCTTACACATAGTCTTTATATCTTGAAGCATGATGATATTGCACATTCTACCAAGTCTCAGTCTACCAACTTCTGTGGATCCTTGTTAGTGGATGGACACCTATGGCATCAACGCCTAGGACATCCATCTCCTGCCAAGTTACAGCATCTTTCTGGTACTTTACCTATGTCTAAGTCTTCTTTAGTTCATGATCATTGTGAAATTTGTCCATTAGCAAAACAAAAAAGATTACCATTCATTTCTCATAATCGTTTGTCTGCTTTACCTTTTGATCTTCTTCATTTAGATATTTGGGGACCATTCTCAGTAGAATCTGTAGATGGTTTTAAATACTTTCTTACTATTGTTGACGATTGTACTAGAGTCACTTGGATCTATATGTTGAGAAATAAAAGTGATGTTCTTGAAGTTTTTCCTGTTTTTGTCAAATATGTTCAGACTCAATATCATTCTGTCATTAAAGCCATTCGTAGTGATAATGCACCAGAATTAGCTTTCACTCAACTGTTAAAAGAAAATGGAATCATTCATCATTACTCATGTGCATATACTCCACAACAGAATTCTGTTGTGGAGCGCAAACACCAACATTTACTCAATGTAGCAAGAGCTTTATTGTTTCAGTCTAATGTGCCTCTTGTCTATTGGAGTGAATGCATTCATGCTGCTGTATTCTTGATCAATAGAACACCATCTTTAGTTTTAAATAAAATTTCTCCTTATGAAAAATTGTTTAAAAAGAAACCGGATTATACTTTCTTGAGATCTTTTGGTTGCTTATGCTATGTTTCAACTCATCTTAAAGATAGACATAAGTTTTCACCTAGAGCTGAACCATGTGTCTTTCTAGGCTATCCATCTGGCTATAAAGGTTACAAAGTTTTAAATTTGAATACAAATGTTATATCCATTTCTAGAAATGTTATTTTCCATGAAAATTCTTTTCCTTTTACTAGTGATACAAAATCTTTACCTCCTGAAAATTTATTCAACACAACTGTTTTACCTTTATCTACTCCTGTTGCAATTGATACTATTCCTGTACATTTGTTGCCTGCATCATCATCATCATCATCCCCTGCATCACGCTCTAGTGCTGTTACACCAGAGACTGTAACTCCTGTTACAGAGCAGGCTTCACTACCCATTGTCAGGCCAAAACGACAGGTTAAAGCACCGAGTTACCTTTCTGAGTATCATTGCAACCTTATTCACCTTACAGAAACACCAAATCCTTCTTCCTATACACTTCCTATTCCTACACCAAAAACACCAAAATCACCAAAAACTTCTTCCTATACAGAACCCGTTCTAGAGAAACACCAAAAACACTCTACTACACAAATTTCTAAACCTAAAACTACTCCTTATCCTATTTCCTCTGTTCTTACCTATGACAATTTACAACCTCTCTATCAGTCTTTTGTACTTTCTTGCTCAATAGAAACAGAGCCACAGAATTTTAAGCAAGCTATGGCTCACCCTCACTTCCCCAAAGCCATGGATTTGGAGATTTCTGCTCTAGAACAAAACGGTACATGGAGTATTGAGACTTTGCCCCCAGGTAAAACTGTTATTGGGTGTAAATGGGTTTACACAATCAAATATAATCCAGATGGATCGATTGAGAGATACAAGGCTAGGCTAGTTGCTAAAGGCTATACACAACAAGAGGGAATTGATTATATTGAAACTTTTTCTCCTGTTGTGAAACTCGCTAGTGTGAAGCTTGTGTTAGGTCTGGCAGCAATTCATGGTTGGAGATTGACTCAAATGGATGTTACCAATGCTTTCTTGCATGGTGTACTAGATGAAGAAATATTCATGAGTCTTCCACAGGGTTATACGCCTGCAAATAATGGTTCTCTTCCTCCTAATCCAGTCTGCCGTCTACACAAATCCTTGTATGGTCTGAAACAGGCCTCTCGTCAGTGGTATCATTGTTTTTCAACAGTGGTTCTTAAGGCGGGTTTTCAGCAATCTCCCGCAGATAATACTCTCTTTGTTAAGCAGTCTGGTACATCATTCATAGCCTTACTTGTCTATGTTGATGATATTATGATTGCCTCTAATAATGATGTGGAGTTGCAGCTTTTAAAGAATGCTTTGCATGCTGCTTTTAAGATCAAGGATATGGGAGCACCTAAATATTTTTTAGGCATTGAAATAGCCAGAAATGCTTCAGGGATCTCTATTTGCCAAAGGAAATATGCCCTGGATATTCTTGCTACTACTGGTATGCTTGCCTGCAAACCTTGTTCTGTTCCAATGGATCCGGTGGTTCACTTGACAAAAGACAGTGGTGTGTTACTTGATGATGCAAAACCATATCGTGAAATCATTGGAAGGCTACTTTATCTTACTCTGACTAGGCCAGATATAACTTTTGCGGTGAACAATTTGAGCCAGTTTTTGTCATGTCCTACTGATAAACACATGGAAGCTGCTTTAAGAGTTCTCAGATATCTCAAAGGGAATCCTGGCCAAGGTTTGTTCTATGCTGCTAATTCAGAACCATGCCTTAATGCTTTTGTTGATGCTGATTGGGGAACGTGTCCGGATTCACGACGATCTGTTACTGGTTTGTGTGTATACCTTGGTAAATCACTCATTACTTGGAAATCTAAAAAGCAGCATGTTGTGAGCCGGAGTAGTACTGAATCTGAATACAGAGCCATGGCTTTAGCTACTTGTGAGTTGCTGTGGTTGTCTCAGTTACTCAGAGATTTGA